GACTCTGGGGGTTGGTGCTCATCTCCATTTCTAAGCCGAATAGACGGTGTTGTCCGTAGACACCTCCAAGGTCATGTGGACATCATGACTGCATGGAGCGCCATTACCTTCCTGCCAGAGCAGTATCTATTGATTTACTCACATTTGCATGTTTTCGAACTGCTAGGTTGGCAGAAGCTGGGGCTGACAGTGGAAGCTCACGCCGCTCCCTGGATTCGAACCTGCAACCTTTCGGTCAACAAGTTTAGCAGCTCAGCGGTTTAACCCACTGCACCACCAGGGCTCCAGAAAACACAAAACAGTGTGCGAATTTGGAAGTAAATTGGTGCTTAGGTATCTAAAGCTAGGTATGCCTACTTCAGATCGCGTTTCAGCGTGAAGGCCAGTCTTAGGGCCCTTCCACACAGTCCCCATTATCTGCTTTGTTATCTGAGTCCACACTGCTATATATTTCAGTTCAAAGCAGAAAATGTGGGATTTTATTCAACTGTGTGGAAGGGGCCTTAGTTAATAAAACTATGCACACTATCTGCATGGTTTAATTGAGATGTCCAGGAACCTACCCACCTCTACATGGAACCAATGTTAAGATCTTCTGGTGGAGCCCTGCTCTCGGTCCCGCCACTTTCGCAATCGTGTCTGGTGGGAACGAGAGACAGGGCCTTTTCTGTGGTAGCCCCTCGACTATGGAACTCTCTCCCGATTGAAATCAGATCTGCCCCCTTCCTCCTGTCCTTCAGGAGGCTAGTGAAAACCTGGCTATGGAATGAAACATTTCCAGAATAATGGCTGAAACTCGCTACAGACTAAGTTATCGACCACACGCAGACTGAGTTGGATATGATTTTATTTTGGCGATTTGGCTTATATGTATTTTATGCTATTTGTATTTTAATTTTTTTGTTGTTTTATGATGTTTTAGATTGCATTATTGCATAGAATCCTTGTTGTGAGCTGATCTGAGTCCCTCTACGGAGGTGGAGAAAATCGGGATATAAAAGTTTTAAATAAATAAAAAAATACACTTTCATCCAGATTTGCTGATTTCCTGAGCCAAGGAGCCTCCATTCTCACTGGATTAAATACCGGTATGTTAGCCACCATCCATTTTAACATTGCCTCCAAACACCTGTTCAAAGGTCTGCTACCTTCCCTGTTACTCGGGCCCCTTCCACACAGATGAATAAAATCCCAGTGTGGACTCAGATAATCCAGTTCAAAGCAGATATTGTGGGATTTTTCTGCCTTGATATTCTAGGTTAAAGATGAAAACATTTCAGGTGAGAAAATATCACAATATCTAGGATTACAACATATACCAAGATTCACAGAAGAGCAAAGGGAAAACCTAAATAAAAAATTACCCAAGAAGAGATAAAGAAAACAATACAAAATATGTCAGCAGATAAGGCACCAGGACCTGATGGTTTCACCACTAAATATTCTAGGTTATATGGCTGTGTGGAAGGGCCCTCAGATGGCCTGAATGCATGTAAGTGATTTCAGGTACCTGTTTTGTCAAAGCCTAATTCAATCCGTGCAAATATAAGTGCATTCAAGAATGTAGTCACCAAATGCTTTTTAAAAACCTCTATTATGTTTCATCTACATGAGCAGAATCCAAGCCAATTGTTTACATGAAAACAGTTCAAGACCTTTGATGTGGTATATGGATAATAGGAATCCAAAACACAACATTTTTTATTCAATGGTAAAAGAAATAATAATAATCCGTCCCTTTGTTTGACAGAGAATAAGTTATGTCTGTTAACAAAAGGAAATAAGCTATATCAGCAGAAACAGCATTATCTATTAATAGATGCAGAAAGTGCATTATATGTTATAGTATTTATTTATAGTATTCCTTTATTGTTCTAAATTCTTCTAAAAGGGGGGTTTCTAAAAATAAATCAGTGTTCTTTTCTGTAGCAAACAATCCTTGTCTTGGATTGCTGTTATTAACTATTATTTTTGGAGTGCTCGTCAACAAAGAATATGAAAGAACAGAGTAAATTCTATTATTTATTCATTTTCTTTTCATCAGACAAGAAAACTGATCGGTCCCAAGAGATCCATAATTTTAGCCTTTTTCTAAAGAGCTAATGATTTGTGAAATAATCTCGTTATTTAGAAGCGTAAAACAGATAAAATTGGAAGCACGCTTTGGCATGGAGACGTTATATCGAGCAAAGAAAGATAGGATCACAGAATCATGGTGTTGGAAGGGGTCTCATGGGCCATCTAGTCCAATCCCTGGCCGGTGCAGGGTCTCCTGCTAAAGCATCTAAGCAGGTAGCTCAACAGCCCTTTTTTGAAGACCTCCAGAGATGGAGATCTCACCACTTCTCTGGGCCATTGGTTTCATTGCTGGACTTACCTACTTAGGTGACCCCTCGTAGTTCAAGTAGGGTTGTCTTCCAAGATGGGTGTCCTGGTGGTGGGAACTTAGGTGACTGTGGAGCCCTATTCTTGAACTGTATCTTCTCCCACAGTGAAGGCATCAGTTTCCAGGTGGAAGGCGGTTCTGGTAGGGGTTGTCTTGATGCGCCTTCCTCTTGACACATTTCTCTCTTTCGCCCTCCATTCATGCCTCTTCAAATTCTACAGCACTGCTGGTCACAGCCGACCTCCAGCTGGAGTGCTCAAGGGCCATGGCATCCCAGTTCTCAGTGTCTATGCCACAGTTTTTAAGGTTGGCTTTGAGCCCATCTTTAAAACTCTTTTCCTGTCCTCCAACATTACGTTTTCCATTCTTAAGTTCAGAGTAGAGCAACTGTTTTGGGAGATGGTGGTTGGGCATCCGGACAACATGACGGATATGGCCCAGGACCATCGCTTCAATGCTGGTGGTCTTTTTCTTCTTCCAGCACGCTGACATTTGTACGCTTGTCTACCCAAGAGATTTGCAGGATTTTCCGGACGCAGCGCTGATGGAATTGTTCCAGGAGTTGCATGTGACGTCTGTAGACAGTCCACGTCTCGCAGGCGTATAGCAAGGTTGGGAGGACAATAGCTTTATAAACAAGCACCTTAGTATCCCTATGGATGTCCCGGTCCTCAAACACTCTCTGCTTCATTTGGAAAAAAAGCTGCTTTCGCAGAGCTCAGGCGGTGTTGAATTTCCATGTCTTTTGTGGAGAGGTGGCTGCCAAGGTAGCGGAAATGGTCAACATTTTCTAATGTTACACCATTAAGCTGTATTTCTGGCATTGGAGAGGGATTGGCTGGTGACTGCTGGAAGAGCACTTTGGTTTTCTCAATGTTTAATGACAGGCCGAGCTTCTCGTATGCTTCTGTGAAGATGTTTAGAGTGGCTTGTAGGTCTTCTTCTGAATGCACACAGACGACGTTGTCATCAGCATACTGGAGTTCTATAACAGATGTTGTTGTAACCTAGTTTTGGCTTTCAGTCTGCTGAGGTTAAATATCTTGCCATCTGTCCGATAGATGATTTCCACTCCGGTGGGAAGCTTCCTGTCAACAAGATGAAGTATCACAGCGATGAAGATGGAGAATAAAGTTGAGGCAATAACACATCCCTGTTTGACACCTGATTCCACCTTAAATGGGTCACTTTGGGAGCCATTGCTGTCCAAGACTGTTGCCATCATGTCATCATGGAGGAGCTGCAGGATGTACACAAATTTTCCGGAGGATGGTCCAGAGAATGCTGCAATTCATTGTGTCGAATGCCTTTGCAAGGTCAATGAATGCCATGTGCGGTGGTTGATTTTGTTCCTTGCATTTTTCTCGGAGCTGTCGTGCAGTGAAGATCATGTCCACTGTTTTCTGGAGGGGAGGAAGCCATTCTGGGATTCTGGGATGGTGTCTTCTGAGAGGGGTAGAAGGCGGTTTGCAAGGATTCTTGAGAGGATTTTCCCAGCGGAGGTTGCTAGACCACTCTTACTGTCAAGAGGTTCTTTGTAATGTTCAGTCAAAAATCTACACTCCTGAAGCTCAAAGAATAAGACCTGACCTTATTCTCTGGGTCATCATCTACTCCTCTATATGATATCTATATTCTTGCAGTATTTAAAGAGTGAGCTCATGTCACTCATGAGTCATCCCTTCACCAATCTGAATAGGTCCGTCTCCTTCAACCTTTCAGGTTTCATTCATCCTACCTCTTATCATCTATGTGGCCCCTTTCTGAACCCGCTCAACTTGCATATACATTCTTAAAATGAGACACTCTGAATTGAACACAGTTTTTATTACTATGTTGAGATATATTGCATTTCTACCTAAAAAAGTACATATAGACATAGAAATTAATGTAAGGAAATGTATTATCGAGGACGTCTAATCACCTCTCAACAAAAGACTGCCCCAGGCACTGCCAGACCATCAAATGCTAATCAAGGTGGTCAGTTGAAACATTCACACCTAGCTCCAGCAGACAAGAATCCTTTGTCCCACCCTGGTCATTCCACAGATATATAAACCCTTTTTCCTAGTTCCAACAGACCTCACTACCTCTGAGGATGCTTGCCATAGATACAGGCGAAACGTCAGGAGAGAATGCCTCTAGAACATGGCCATATAGCCCGAAAAAACCTACAACAACCCAATGTAAGGAAATGTTATACAAACCTGAACATTCTTTTGGGTGGCAGGTTTCCATTTTGACATTAAGTGGTTGTCCTCATTGTTAAGAGAGCTAAAGTAGGATGCATTTCCGTGCTCAAGACTCTAACTTCCATGTCTGGACTTAGGTCACTAATAAATATCACATAGGGGCTGGTGTTAATCTAGTTATGTTAGTCAATTGTTTAACTATCTAAGGAAAGGAGTAGTAAGTACCCTGACAAGAAATCTACAGAAATTTGTTCATCGATAAAAGGAAAACACTTCAAAAGTAAGAAAAGTACTCCCGAAACAAAAGAAAGCTCACCCAGAAAGGTACCCCCAAAAGAACACTACCCCAAAAAGGATTAAAAAAATAAAAAATAGATAAAAGAAAAACATTATTGGGAATACAGCACAAGAAAAGCCCTCACCAGTAACAACGATACGATCTTCTCTGGAGACTTTCTGGATATCCTGCCAATGAATCTCTGGGCTCACTTCAACCTTGCTTCCAGATAACTGCAGATCAGCATTAAGAGTGGCAGGTACCTTGACAGTAACAGCACCTGTCATAGCAAGTAGACAAAGCAGGCAGAGTCACATGAACTCTTCAGCTAGGTTTCATGGCAATGAAGGGACAAGGCTTTCTGCTTTTGCCACAAGATTGATCCAATGAAATAACTTGGCTTAGATCACATTTGTCTAACCCTCGGTCCATGGACCACATGCAGTCCAGGACCGCTATGAATGTGGATCAACACAAAATGGTAAACTTACTTAAAACATAATGAGGTTTTTTTGTGATTTTTTTTGGTAACCTGATGATACAGTTCTCAAGCACAAACTTTGGAGATGTCATGTATTATGTTCTGCAGTTGATGGTAGTTGGTGATGGAAGGGTTAATGTAAGTCTTAGTTCTAAAGGGTTGAGTAATCTGTAAATAAGAATTCATGGGTGAAAGCAATTAAGGGTGGAGGTATGCAAGAGATGGGTTGCAGCGGGGTGTTTCTGGATATAAGGAGCTAGTCTTGGGACCGATCTTTGGGAGAAAAGTATTTGTCTTATGTTGGTGGTAGATGCTGCTGGTTTTCTCCCAGGTTTGTGGATTTTTGGTGTCCTGACCTGTCTTCTGAACCTTTGGAATCCTGGAACCTTGAACCTTTGGACTGGCTTTTGACTATGGTATAGACCAGGGGTCCACAAACTTTTTAAACAGAGGGCCAGGTCATAGTCCCTCAAACTGTTGGAGGCCCGGATTATAATTTGAAAAAAAATAATGAATTCCTATGCAAAGTACACATATCTTATTTGTAGTGCAAAAAACACTTTAGAACAATACAATAATTAAAATGAAGAACAATTTTAACAAATATAAACTTATTAGTATTTCATTGGGAAGTGTGGGTCTGCTTTTGGCTGAAGAGATAGGGTTGTTGTTGTTGTTGTGTGCTTTAAAGTCGTTTCAGACTTAGGTTGACCCTGAGCGAGGGGTGGGTAAATGACCTTGGAGGGCCGTATTCAGCCCCCGGGCCGTAGTTTGAGGATCCCTGGTATAAACTCTTGATCCCTAGACTTTGTTTATTGAACTCTCTGTGTTTGACCACTGGACTGGACATTTGACTACGGAGTTATCTTGAACCGGCAACAGTGTTTGCTATTTTTGTTTTATATTCTGTGGCTGAATGCAATCTTTATGTTTTCTATTTTGGACTATTAAAACAGCCAGAAAGCAAGTGCTATTTTAATTAAATTGTTTTATACAAACTGGGTTTTTGTTTGGTTCATCTCTGCCTCTGTGAAGGCAGAGCCCTGGCAATGTGACAGTAGACAACAGAACACAGTAATCAGTGTGTTACATCCACAAATACTGGAGTATTATCTGTAATTTACATTATAGTTGTGAACAGTTTGGTCAGAAGACCTGCTCAATGATTTTAAGAGACTCTCTAGGTTGGTGCATATTTAGGATTACTATGCAAGATTTTGTTTGTCATGAAAATTATGCATTGATCTCCCCTACCCCCGTTTCTTATCAACTATTGTTAGTGCTAGTGTATTTTATGTATGCCCCAAAACAATTCTTCCTCTTCCAGTGTGGACCAGGGAAGTCAAAAGGTTGGACACCCCTTCCTTAGATCTTAACTGCGCTTCTGCAAATGGAAAGAAGTATTATGTTCACAAATGGGACCAACAGCCATGGTAGAAGAGGGGCAATAGTGGCTTGTTTTTCCCTTCAGCTGCTCCTTACATTTTTGAATCTAGGAAATTCCCTCAGTCCTCAGAAGCAGATTCTCAAGAGGCCAAAGGAGCAATGAAACCCATTTCTTCACTTCTCTGATGCTGGTGAAGACTTTATTCCGTGGATGTCTTTCCTCCCTTCCTTCTATCCTTCCTCCCCAAGCTTTTGATTCTTTTTCAGCCATAATACATATGTTTCACACTCCAGAGAAATCAATGTGTAATATTTTGCAACAAGGTCCACCCTCCACACCCACTGCCCTGGCTTCATTTCAGGTTCTGGCTTTGATGAACTGTAGCAGCTAAATGTGGGGGAGTCCTGCCAAAGATGCTTCTGTTGAAATCCTGCCCTCTATTCTTTTGTGATGACACTGCATGCAGCCCAAAGGATTCTGCAAAACCAATGCTCCCCAAAGGGATGGTCCATGGACTAGTGCCAAACCACAAACCATCAGCTGTTGGCCCCTGCAAAGTTTCCAAGAAAGAAGGCAACAACTGTGGTCAGTGGAAACAAACATGATACCAGTCCCTGGCATGTTGTAAAAAAACAACTGGTTCCCCACATCAGAAAGGATAATAAGTACTACAGTAGTATCCACCATTTCAGTTCTCAAAAAGACACATGTCCAAAAGTGGAAAGGGATGTTTTATTTCTTACTGCAATTCCCTGACATTTTTTAATCTTGTTCCTAATGTGGTTGTTGTTTTAATAGGATCACTTGTTTCATATTTTGATATGAATATTTTAATCTGTTTTCCGCCATAGTATGAATTTTCTTGGTCCCAGGAATAAGACAGCATAGAAATAAATGGCAAAAGGCCCATTGTACCTATCAGACACAGTAATACTTTATTTATTTATAAATATAGAATTTAAAGTATGGTATAGCATTATTTATTTATTTACAGCATTTATATGCCACCCTTCTCACCCCGAAGAGGACTCAGAGCGGCTTACAAGTTATATATACATGCAATATATTATATTATTAGCATAGTACAATATCAGTATTAAATATTACTATATTGTACTATACCATTATATTGTAATATTATTAGTAATATTACCTGTAATATAAATATATAATCATAAAATCATATTATTATTATTAGTATTATATTGCATTACAACTTTCTAGAGCTTCAAGACATTGTTTGGGATTGTATGGAGCAGAGTAGCAAACAATTCCTATTTGAACTACACTATTTCTGTAGTGACCATATGACAAACCAACCTTATTATTATTATTATTACTATTATTATTATTACTATTTATTTTTTTTTGTCGTGTCAGGAGCAACTGCTCCTGTTGTGAGAGAATTGGCCGTCTGCAAGGATGTTGCCCGGGGGACGCCTGGATGATTTTTGATGTTTTATCATCCTTGTGGGAGGCTTCTCTCATGTCCCCGCATGAGGAGCTGGAGCTAATAGAGGGAGCTCATCCGCCTCTCCCGGGATTCGAACCTGCGACCTGTTGGTCTTCAGTCCTGCCAGCACAAGGCTTTAGCTCACTGCGCCACCGGGGGGCTCCATTATTATTACTACTACTAGTACTACAACTACTATGGGACATAGCCCCTGTGTCTTTAATACTTTTGTGGAAGAGAACAAGGGACACAAGTCAAAACTCCCTCTTCCACACAACAATTTCAACCTTCCTCTTCATATCTGTTTCATTCAGTAGCTATTTATAGTTTTAAAATTATGTATTTAAAATCCTTTTACACTCAATTTATATTATGATCTACTTTGGCCTTTCATATAACTACATTCAGAGTATATGGATATATATATATAAGCTGTAAAAGTTTTCTAGTATTCTCTAGTCTGAGTCATGTCAAATTATATACTGTATTTCTTCAATTTGAAGATTCACCCCCCCCCCCACCATAAACATCTGTAAAAATGGGGTGCATCATAGAATAATGGGTGCTTTAGCACAGCAAGTTAATCACCAGCTGCAGTAAATTTTGCCAACCGAAAGGTTGACAGTTCGAAGCTGGGTCAGGGTGAGCTCCTGACCTTCAGCGAAGCTCCCCCGCCCACCTAGCAGATTGAAAACAGCAATGTGAGTAGATGAATAGGAACCCTATTAAGCAAGGAGGTATTTTAGGCACTGCGTTTTGGAGGGAGGTTTACTGACAAAGAAAACTCTTTGGCATCATTTTGAGGTGTGCCTTGTTCTGGGAGGAGCGATAGCATCCGCTCTATATGATGACTCCCGGCGTATAAGACTACTCCAGCATATAAGATGACTCCTATGCATAAGGCTACTCCAGCGTATAGGATGACTCCCGTGTATAAGACTACTCCCGCGTATAAGACAACCCCTTACTTTTGAGAAGATTTTCTTGGGTTAAAAAGTAGTCTTACACGCCAGAATATACGGTACTGTAAATAAAATTATAAATATAAATAAAGCTTTTTTTCTGTTGTTGGTACTGAAATCAGTGTGCATCTTGCAAGTGATGGTGTCTTAGAATTTTAAAAAAGTAATTAATGTTACTTTGACTGCTGGGCATGATCAGATGTGCTTTTGCTGCTAATTTAGCTCCATTTTTTAACGGTTAAATCACTATTATTGTTTTGATTGCAATTTCCCATCTATGGGCTTTTGCTGCACAAGAATGCGGAAATAGATAGATAAATAACAAATGTATTTTAAAAATGCTCATTAACTGACCATTCTCAGATTTCAGATCCACGTCTCCCAGTCGACTGACAACATAAACATCGATTTCCCCTTGAAGTGTAGATGCCTTTAGGGAGCCATCTGCAGAATCTAAAACAAGAAAGAAGCAAAAATATTCATATCTATGTGACTTCCTGTGAATTAACTCAAGGATTTTGTGAGATTCACTTTAACAGGCTGTGTCAGAAAAACTTGCTCTTAGAGGAAAAAGCCATGTCATTGAATTTTTTTTTGTCCTAAAAGAGTAGAAGGAGGGACACAATGTTCTCTCTATATTTAAACTTTAATAGATAATCTGAGACTCAGTGAACATCGAAGGAAAGATGACACATCTGCATTTGTTCAGACAAGGTAACACAGCTTAGCTGATCTCAAAATGCTCAATGATAATTTCATATTTTTTTGTCTTAGAAACTTTCTTTTTGCTCCGCTTTGGAAAACAGGAAGAAGTGGCGGCCAAAAGCAAAAGCCTGTATGGATGGATTCTAAAAGGGTCTTATTTTCAAAGGACACAAAGAGAACAGACATAATTTTACCAAATCTCTGCAAGCTGCTCTGTCTTTCAGTAAATAATCCTGCCTTCCTTACAGAAGAATGACCATGTCTTCAGAGGCTCTTTAAAAGTTCATTTGCATGAATAAAAGAAGTGTATTATTTCCTTTTAACTCTCTAAACCCATACATTATGAAATAATCTATATAAATAAAAATGTAATGTTCATTTGGGGGATTAACATAACTCAAAAAACCACTGGACGAATTGACACCATGGACACAATACACCTATCAGGCCAATGTATGTCCTTCACTCAAAAAAATTTGATTTTGTCATTTGGGAGTTGTAGTTTCTGGGATTTATCGTTTACTTACAATCAAAGAGCATTCTGAACACCACCAATGATGGAATTGAACCAAACTTGGCACACAGGACTTCCATGACCAACAGAAAACACTAGAAGAGTTTAGTGGGCATTGACCTTGAGTTTGGAAGTTGTAGTTCACCTACAGAGAGCATTGTGGCCTCAAACAATGATGGATCTGGACCAAAATTGGCACGAATATTCCATATGCCCAAATATGAACACAGATGGAGTTTGGGGGAAATCGACCTTGACATTTGGGAGTTGTAGTTATTGGGATTTACAGTTCACCTACAATCAGAGAGCATGCTGAACCCTACCAATGACAGAATTGGGGCAAACTTCCCACACAGAACCCCCATACTTAAGGCCATCCAGTCCAACTCCCTTCACCAGGACAAGAAAACGTAATCAAAGTCCTCCTGACAAAGAGCCATCCAGACATACATATAAATATATATATATGATTCACACACACAGATACACAGTAGTTTCATAGATTCGAAAGGGACCCCTAAAGAAGGACAATTATATGTTGCATGTTCCAGAGTAGGCAAACCAAACAATCTCTACATCAACACTGAAAAAGAAACAACAAGAAATACTGTTTAACCACAAGCATAAAGAAATTACATATATTACAAACCAACACCTTCTCATTACTTTATTTTCCAGTTACTTTATTGACCTTGAGCTTGAGAGTTGTAGTTCACCTACATCCAGAGTGCACAGTGGACAATGATAGATCTGGAATATTCCATATTCCCAAATATGAACATAGATAAAGTTTGGAGAAAACATTAGGGAGTTGTAGTTACTGGGATTTATAGTTCACCTACAACCAAAGAGCATTCTGAACCCCACCAACGACAGAATTGGGGCAAACTTCCCACACAGAACCCCCATAAGCAACAGAAAATACTTAAGGCCATCCAGTCCAACTCCCTTCACCGGGGCAAGAAAATGTAATCAAAGCCCTCCTGACAAAGAGCCATCCAGCCATAGATATAGATAGATATATATGATTCACACACAGAGAGATATAGTACCACAGATTTGAAATGGACTTCTAAAAAAGGACAATTATATGTTGCCTGTTCCATAGTAGGCAAACCAGACAAACCAGAAGGAAACAATAAGAAATACAGTTTACCCACAAGCATCAAGACATTACATATATTAGAAATCAACACCTTCTCATTATTTTCCAGATTACCAGACTGGGCCACACAACACGTGGCAGGGGACGGCTAATAATAATAATAATAATAATAATAATAATAATAATAACAACACTTTATTTATACCCCGCCACCATCTCCCCAAGGGAGATTACTTTCAGAGATTAATTTCCTGAAGTAGTTTTCTGCAGTGGAACTTTGAGGACTTGTTACCCAGAAGAGTTTAAGATTTTACTCTGACGCAACCACAAGCTTTTTCATGCCAGTATTTTCTGAAATCATTAAGCATTTGTACCTGAATTATTTCAAGCTTGTTCAATAAACATTCTTATCCTTTTATTAACTTATACCAGGCTCAGTGTGAGTACTTTGGTGGTCAAAGTATTTCTAAAAGTCAGCTCCACAGCAACCACTACGAAACTATAGTGGCACAGTGTGTGTTACAGAACAAACTCACAATATTACCTCAGCCTGATTAATACTGGAATGGTGGCAGTGGAATTCATTTGAAGAAGCATTTTAAGTCTCTCAGTTTTAGTGTTTCCCAGTTCCTACCTTTTAAAACGCTAAGTGCCTCTCCCCTTCTCTGCTCTCTGCTTGGTATAATCAGTGGGAAATATTTCAACAATTAAAATAAAGAAAAATTTAAATATACAGCTGTTTCAACAACTATACTCCCTCATCCTTTTGACGGCTTTATATATATATTTTTGGTGAGCACACGTTCATGTTTTAGGTGGTGCCTGTGAGTTATAAGGAGCCTGAAAACATGGTTGTTCCAGTGTGCCTTCCCTGAATAAAGGAAACAATGCCCTTCTCTGACCAATTCCCTGCAAAATGTCCTCAGAAGCATTTTAACTACCCGTTGGGTTGCTCTCCCTACATTATCCTTTAAAACCCTCCTACTTAGATACATCCTACCTCTGTTCACGCCCGGTGTTTATTTTAAAATTTTAAACTATTACATCTGGCCCAGCCATAGGTTCTTTTAAATTCAGGGCTTTGTAGGTAAGAACCTGCACCTTGAATTGGGAGTGGAAGACGAACAGCAGCCAACGGAGCTCCTTAAACAGAGGGGTTGACCACTCCCTGTAGGTCACTCCAGTTAGTAACCTGGCTGCCGCCCGTTGTACCGACTGAAATTTCCGAGCCGTCTTCAAGAGCAGCCCCACGTAGAGTGCATTACAGTAATCCAATCTGGAGGTGACTAAGGCGTGGACCACCATGGCCACATCCGACTTCACAAGGTACGGTTGCAACTGGCGTACGAGTTTTAATTGTGCGAAGGCCCTCCCAGTCACCGCCGACGCCTGGGCTGCAAGCGTTAGCGATGAGTCTAGGAGGACACCCAAGCTGCGGACCTGTGACTTCAGGGGGAGTGCAACCCTATCAAGCACAGGTTGCCACCCTATACCCCGATCCAGCTTATGATCGACCAACAAGAATCTTTCAATTACTATGAAGTTTTACCCAAATGAACAAGAAGAAATGCACACACCACCTTGCAGAGAGAGGCTGGGTTGCAGGTAATTTTCCAATATATATTTATTTTAGCCAACAGATTTCTTAGCAGGAAACAGGAAAAGTTAAATGGCAGATTCATATGTTTGTAATTTTGTGCGCTTGAACATATTAATTATAATCTTCCTGGTCTTGTGCAAAACACACACACACACACACACACACGGCTAGAAGGACTCCAAACTGCAAAAGACAAATCTGCTTTGCACCGAAAGCGAAGGGAATGGACAAGAAAGTGTTTATTTTTGTGGGAGACTGCGTAGATTTTATTATTAATGTAAATATTGGATGAAAAGTATTATTTTCTCCAATTTCCAGAATTGCGTGGCAGCAAATCTCAGGCCCAGCTTTCTCAAGCCAAACATGTGACAGATTCCATCACTCTTATTGGAAGAGATTGTGACAGAAAGAGAGAGACAGGGAGAGAAGGAGAAACTATTATATCCTGTGTTTGGTAAAATGCGCACGTTGATTTGAAAGGAAAATATTAGAAAGAAAAAGAACAGCTGCCAATTCATGTCCTCTGAGAAGCTCACTCCGTGATTTGGCTCTCAAAACCAGCAGAAACTAGTTGCTGGGTTTGGGATTTGTTTATCTGTTATTCCTTCTGAATTTCATTTAATTTTATTCTCTTCATTTTTGCGTGGTTGTATTGAAAGTCTTTGGTTATTGCTGGTCATGCCTGCCTGCCTGCCTGCCTGCCTGCCTGCCTGCCTGCCTGCCTGCCTGCCTGCCTGCCTGCCTGCCTGCCTGCCTGCCTGCCTGCCTGCCTGCCTGCCTGCCTATCTATCTATCTATCTATCTATCTATCTATCTATCTATCTATCTATCTATCTATCTATCTATCTATCTATCTATCTATCTATCTAAAAATGCTCTGTGCATAATGAGTACCTTAAAAACAAAAGAACCAATGAACGAAATCACACCAAATTTGGCAACAAAACGTTTCACAACACAAGGAATGACCATCACTCAAAACATTATGATTTTGTCATTTGGGAGTTGTAGTCGCTGGGATTTATCGTTTACTTACAATCAAAGAGCATCCTGAACACCACCAATGATGGAATTGAACCAAACCTGGCACACAGGACTCCCATGACCAACAGAAAAGACTGGAAGGGTTTGGTGGACATTGACCTTGAGTTTGGGAGTTGTAGTTCACCTACATCCAGAGAGTACTGTGGATTCAAACAATGATGGATCTGGACCAAACTTGGCACAAATATTCCATATTCCCAGATGTGGAGTTTGGGGGAAATAGACCTTGACATTTGGGAGTTGTAGTTACTGGGATTTACAGCTCACCTACAATCAAAGAGCATTCTGAACCCCACGAATGACAAAATTGGGGCAAATTTCCCGCACAGAACCCCCATGACCAACAGAAAATACTTAAGGCCATCCAGTCCAACTCCCTTCACCAGGGCAAGAAAACGTAATCAAAGCCCTCCTGAGAAAGAGCCATCCAGTCATAGCCATAGATATAGATAGATAGATATGATTCACACATACACAGATATACA